TCCTCCTGTGTCTTTACTATTTTATTTCCAAAATTTTAACTTGTAAAAATGAATACAAGTCGAGAAGATTCTAACCATGATATATGACACCATATATTTCCAGACTTTTAGCTTTCTCTAAATAAGATGTGCGACTCCATCATTCAAAGTCACATGACTTTTGAAAGTCTTGCTTTTGTCAATTTTTACTAGAAAACTACGGGAACAACATTTACGTGACTTATAGGCACAATATCGGCCTGAGTTAGGGTTAGAGTTAACGTTAGGGTTAGTGTATTTTTGTAATATTTTAGTAATGCTGGTTGTGCCCATAAGCATATAAGTACGTAAATGTTTTGCCAAAAGCAATCACCGTATTTTTATTTTATTTTAAGATCACGCATTGTCATTAATGTCATTAATAGCTTGGTTCTTTTCTAATAAATTCGGTACTAATTTAAAAAGTAACTTGCATAAAAAAAATATGTTGTGTAGAAAAATAAAAGCAATTAACTGTAGCCATTTTAAGTCAAATTGTCAGTATATTGCAAAACTATCAGGGTTTTTCTCTTTATTCATAACATTTAACAAAGCAGCTATGATTACTAAAATTTCTACAAAAGTAAAACCAATTTCATCAATCATAATTATCACCAACCCGATAAAAGTAAAAAGTATAAAATCTCATCAATTGTGTGCTTGAAATCTTACATGTAAATAGAATATTTTTATGTGAAATATCTAATGTATTAATTTGAAAAAAATTCGTCAAAAATCTGAAAGAAGATCTTGATGAAATGAAAAAGGTATTCAAACAATTTAATTATAATTAATCACTCTGTTATCTACTTATTATGCAACTAAAGATTATTTATATATTTAGTTCTTTTTTGAATTTGAAGAGTGAAATAGCAAACAATTAAATATGTTATATGAAGAGTTGTTGATTATGAAGAAACAAATGTCAAATAAAGCTAATGACAGTACATCAATAATAAATGAAATTCGAACACGGCCAATTGCACCAAACGAGTTAAAAGATCCTTTTTCAGGACAGAAAGATGACATTAGAGGTGTAATTGTTAAAAAAGTGTTTGGAGAATATGAAGATGTTGCCTGTAAACCTGTCACACTTCCAAAGGAAGATTCACGAGACTCTAAAAGAATTCTATCACAATTAGTGATCCTAGAAAAATTAAGTAATGGACAGAATATTCTCAAATTTTATGGTCTTTCTTACATTGATAACAAAAATGTTATGGTTTTTGAATGGGCTGAGTTGGAAAATCTTAAAGAAGTTTATAAAAAGAATGATATTCCATGGTGTAATAAAATACTTTTAGCACTTGATATTTGTCGAGGCGTTGCATTTTTACAGAAAGTAGCGATTTTTCATCATGATATAAGATGCGAAAACGTAATGGTATGTAGATGTTTTATTGCCTCCTTTGCACATAATTAGACACAATTAAAACCTTAAATTGTCATTAGATAACAAAAAACTTGGAACCAAAGCTTACAAATTTTGATTATGCTCGCCGTATTACTGAAGAAACGTCCCAAATCCCTAAAATATCATCAATTTATAATTGGTTAGCTCCCGAAAAAATGTTAGATCATGGCTACACGCATAAATGTGAACTATTTAGGTTCAAAATATCATTTCTTTTAAATTTTATTTTAATATAAATGCGTATTTATTAATACTTTATGAAAATATCGATAGTTTTGGAATGTTTTATGGGAGCTTTATTATGAAAAAATACCCTATGAAAACCGCAAATAAAAATTTTGAACTATCTTCAACACGCTTATTAGATGGTGACCATTTAGTCGAATTGGTAAAAAAAAGAGAGGCTTGCATTTATTGTCGTTATCTGGTGCAACGTGGTGAAAAAAGTATTAATTCTGATAACCCTCCGCAAAGCAATTTGTGGTATACCAAATGCAAAGTTCCGCTGTGTGCCTCTAAGGCAAGACCGCATTGCTTTAGAGATTTTCACTCTAAGAAAAAATAAAGAATAATCTTTAAGGTTCGTATGATGGTGATATTAGCAAAAAAAAGGTTTAATAAGGTAAGAAAAAAAAAATATTAGGCCATTGAAATAAATGCTGATTAAAAATTTAAACCCGACTTTTAGAGATCACATTCGAATTATTTAGGTGAAGTTTCAGATTTTATGTCGCCTATTAATTTAGCGCATAAAATATTTCTGTTAAATCGTAAGAAAATGAAACTGTATATATTAACCATGAAAAGGCTGTTAGAATCAATCTAAAAGTATGCGCGTAAAATTGGCAAAACGTTAGGCAAGAGACGAAAAAAAATTAAAAATTAAAAATTAGAAATAGTTAGAATCGAATACTGGAGTATATTTGCTAATCGTATGACGTACGTACGTATATATATGTTACAAATAAAAAATTGGATGGATAATTGTGCCGCATCCAAGTTTTTCTTATTAGAATTTAAAATAAATATAAATTTGAAGTACAGTACTAGTTTTGTTAAAAAATAACAATTTACTATTATAAAAATTTTCCAGGGAAATTTGCCTGGAAATGATCGACAGATTAAGGGATAACTTTTATTTTCCATTACTTTTTTTTTATTTTTATTAGTCATTTGATGGCTTTTACCTTTTTATAAATGTAGGATATGATTATAATAGATTTGACTAATTGGTTTGTTTCTTCACAATAATATCCCCATTTTATAATTGGCATTTTTAACAGAGTTATTGTTTATACTTATTCGTTATGTGATTCACTAGTAAATTAAGTAAACTTTTCCTATAAATCTCTGTTTCATTCTTTAAAGACATTTTCGGTCATACAATTCCGTGTATTTCTTGAAGCGTTACAAATATACATAAAACTTAAAAAAGTTGTGCCGTATTTTTTTGTCAAAATACATAATGATAAGTCTAAAAATATTTTTTTATTACCGATTAAATATTGCCAAACACCTTATTTTCAAAAGTTCAACTAATATGAAGAATAGATTTTTATTGATGAATTGGTAATAAAAATGATGAACAGAAATTTTTCACTTTTTTTATCAAAATCTGCAGTTGAAGAATATTCTCGTGAAACAAATAATATTGGTTATTATTATGAAAAAGGAATTGGAGTTGAAAATGATGAACACAAAGCTCTCATTTATTTTCAAAAATCTGCAAATATGAGTGATTCTAACGGAATGTATAATGTTAGATATTGTTATTAACATGGAATTGGTATTGAGAAAGATGAATATAAGGCATGGCATCGTACTCGAATCGTATTCAAATCGTATCAAAGTATCTAAGTATACCATAAAAATGACAAATAAAAAATCATTCTTTTTATGAATTAAAAGGAAATTTTAGTCGATGATCTTATGCACGAATGCAATACAACACAAACAAAATAGGAAAGAGGAACGCATCAAAATTATCGTTATAGATCACATCTCCAGGAATTGCTTTTCACTTATTACAGGTCAGTATTTCTTGTTTTTACTTAGATAACGATAATCATAAAAATCTCGTGTAACCTAAAATCAGAAAAATATAAATAGATTTGCGAGTGAAAATCGATTTCGTAAATAAATGGAGCTTAAAAACCATAATCACTATATAACGACTATATCAAAATTTGCAAAACGAGCACACCTTCAATTTTTTAAAGATAATGAAATTTCTACATGGAATTTGTATAACTTCTTACTTTATCGCATCAAGCAACAAGATTTTGTGGTTGATCCAGCACTAGAAAATGGTCATTATGCAAGCTTTTTAGGATATTTTAAAAATGAACATGGTGATGAAGGAGATTTTCTTCTAAAGCAATATAAGGTAAATTTGAAACTTATATAGAATATAACCGATATCTGTGTTATAATTCACTTTGTTTTTTTAAATCTTTAGGAGAACATGACATCTGCAAGAGTGAAGATCCTATGGGAAGTTATTTCTGGAGACAATGTAAAGGAGCTTCAATTAGTTTTTGAAACTGTATTAACCTTGAAAGACAATTATTTACAATCTAAAGGCACTCGGTAATCAAAAAAAAATCGTATTTTTCCTTTCAACAAATTTAGCTAATTTTATTTTTGTGTTTCACTTAGAATGACAAAGTTCCGTTAGCGAACCAGCAAGATCTTTACAAGCTATTTATTGATTATATAAACTCAGTAGAATTTAATAATGACATTAAATACTTTGAGTAAATAAATTTATGTTTATATATTTGGTTTATTAATAGCTACTAATAGTTGGTATCAATTTATAGCCCTATTAAAAGTAGCGTAATATGCGTAGATATTTTGGACCCTCGATTAAAGGAAAAATTGTCCAAAAAAGACTTGGATGATTTATCGGAAAAATTATCCATTCCAATCAATGATTCTAATGCTTTACATGTAAAGAACTATGCAGATGATATTTTAACTTGGTATACTGGTTTAAATACTGCACCGTTACGCAATAATTCAAAAAAGCCAGAAATTTCTCCAAATTGTAGTCATGAAGAAAAAATACAATGTGAGATATATCAAACTATTTTGAACCATATGTAAGTAAAAACCGATTTGTCATATATGATAGTTTATTTAGTTATTTAATTTGAAATTCTCCTTTGTAGGGAACAAACTATCTGGTCAAATTCATATAATATAGACAAGATTAGTGAACAACAATACACATCTGATACAGTTTATAGTTTCATATTCAGATCAATAAGGCATATTAATGATAACCTTTATACATTATTGTAAGCATGAATATATTTCGATTAGTTGCTATTTTATTTTTATTTTTTTATTTAATTGATGTACACTTAATAATAGCGGTGAGATAACATCTACTGGATCCGCTCAAAGAAAACGTCTTTATAAATTACTTGGATTAAATAAGAAAAAAAGTGCAATAGGTCGCCGCTGTGATTTAATTTTATGTGATCAATACGATTATGTACATTTGGTTGGTGAAGTGAGTGGTCCACCCTCAAAAAAACTTCCAAATAAAGAAAGATTTGATCTTGGTAGAAACAATCGCAACGCCAAAGATGAGAAAAGTTTATGCGAACTAGCTATAATTGCAGAGTTCGGACCAATTTTAGAGGAATCAGATTTAGATATTCTATTAAATGAATTATATGTATTTATGATCCAAGTAAAAAGTAAGTCTTTATTGTTAAGTTTGTTTATTTGATAATAGTAATAATTAATATTTTATGCAGAAAAGACAATAGAAACATATGTTCTTGATCATATGATGCAAAAAATTTATTGTTCAAGACTTCTAAACCGGGCCGAGATTCCTTTGGACAAAAAGATTACGGATAAAGTTAATTTCCTACAATTTTTGTTCACTATTTATGAATTAATCGTGAGTAATTATTAGCATTAATGGAGACATTATATTTAAGATTTTTAACAATGTAATTCAAGGCTTTCATTATTAGGTTGCCGTTGCTGAAAATGCTAATAAAATGGACAAGTTGATGAACAAGCTTTCAAGGAAAAAGCAAGAGTGGAAGGTCAATAATATTAATACCACTTTGATGCCTTGACGATAAGCGATACCGCAAAACAATTAGTCTTATCACAAGCAATTACTTTATCAACTCCATCATCTTCACCATCAAGCGATGACACACCTGATTCTCCGAAAGCATCAATAGTAAATTTATTGGATTTCTTTATTACTCCGGCACGAGCAAAAGAAACTCTTAGGGAAATGAATTCTTTATTTACTTTAGAGCATGTTTTTGCTACCAGCACCATTCTTCATACACCAGAACGTTTGCCAATAAATGCCGATGATGATGATTCAATTCCCGATATTCAAATTTGAAAATTTTTTTAATTATAAAAAATGTTGTTAATCCGAACATTCTATTATTAATAGATTAGAAAGGTTAGCAACATGGCTTATAATTAGAAATGAATTAATAAATGAGTTGAAGCATGAATTATTATGAAAAAGATTGTTGGCCCGGATAATTTTAAATAGGTTTGAAATGTTAACAGTCCAGCTCATAATAAAAAGTGTTATCGACTGATTATATAACAGTAGTAATACAAAAAAGTTTGTGCAATTAGATATGGTGATTTTGAATGGTTATTAATATAATATAAACGCTACCTAATGATAATTACAGGTAACGTCGTATTTCAAAAGAATATATTTACATAATTTATTTGCTCATTTTTTGACATTTTCTTATTCAAATAGGACTGTATAAAGAAATTATTTCTGCCACCGATAATTATTTCTGTATTCGGATTTTCAATTATCATATGAAGTAATATGTGCAATTATACATATCGTTATTAGCGTTAATTATCCTGTACTATATTCATTAATACTTTAGATTAGAAATATTAACAGTTAGTGGAAACTGCTAGCAGTGTTGCAGTTTGTGCAACCAATTTTGTAAATAATAATTCCCACGCGTATCACGAATTAACACCATAAATTATGACTTTATTATATGCGATCATTTAATGTAATAGGTTGCCGTAGTGTAATCCAATATTTCTTTATTTGGTATGGACAGTATATAATCGTAATGAAAATTGCGTTAAAGATACGTAAACTAGATCAAACATAAATTCTCTCCTTATTTGAACAAGTCTTTTTATGAAAAATTAATATTAAAAGGCATTCTAATTTAAGTCAATACGCGTAATTTGAATTTATCAGTTATTGTCTGTTAAACTATATCTTACGCGATTCAATCTAAGAATATAAACATTATACATTTTTATAGGCGAACAAATATATGTATATAATTCATAGTAAAAAAGCATAATTTTGCACTTGTTAGTTAACACGTTTTTTGTTTGTTTCTGATAAGAAATAGCATTTACCGTTACTAATTTTCTTTATTTACGCTTTTGCTTATGTACTCACTTTGACTATCATATTTTGATCACGTACATTTGGCTTTTTAATTAATTACTAATCACGGAATTTTCTATCGGTCATGGATTATGTCAACTAGTCCAATAAGCAATTGCCAAATTAAATGATCATCATGCAGATTTTTACGATTTTTCATAGTGTCACGGTTTTTTAGAAAAAAATCGTGACTTGTAGTAACGAGAATGTGTATACTGTAAGGCTGGGTTGTGGCGAAGGCTTAGAA